ATTCAGTTGAGCAGGTTGTTTTGTGAGTGTATAGGCCCTATACACTGGCAGCCATGCCTACGCGGAGCCTCCGCGGGTGCGCAAAACAGTGGAAGGGTACCGCCGGCGAGAGCCGACACGGCAACAAGCGCCTACGGGGAGTGCCTACGCAGACTTTTTTTTCGGGCGCCACTCTCAAGGCATAACAACAAGCTTGCGTAAGGCAAAACACGCCTACGCGAACCTGCCTATGCAGGGTTTTCTTGAACAACCTCCTGACAAAGAATGGGACAAAGTAGCCAAGGGCCAAGGCTTGACTGGCGTCGGGCCCGTGTTTGAAGGCTCTTTGAATAAATGTGAGAAATTGAATATGTCGGGCACCTAGGGCCTTTTGTGAGGTTGTGTGACCAACAAAAATGGGAGGCTCCGTGGCAAACTTGACACGAAAGGTATGGGTGTCATAAAAAGAACATTGCCGATTCTCAGGGCGTAGTATAGTTGTCCGGCCCATACTGTGTATCTTTGCAACCCACAACAAACACAACACCCGAGAATAAATAGCAGCGACAAGGCACTGCAACTGGCATTATGTGAAAAGTTTATCTGATTCTCAGAACACACCAATTGGGGCTCAAACTATCGGCGGCTGGTGCAGCAAGCAAATTAAGCGCAGTCAAGCCCAAACTGTTTCAAACGGCCATTGTGCTTTCGGATCCCCGTGTAACTTTGCAGGCCTCGCTTTAAGTTCCTAATTGCCCGCCAGGGGGGTCAAAATGTTCGTTCCGACCCCTTTGCGCAGAATGGTTGACCACACCCATCTCATGCAATTTCGTGTACGATGCACAATTTGAGCCAGGCAAGAACCTTCGCACAAGGCGTCGGCAGTTCCACGCGTATCCATTGCTTGGAGGTCCATGGCAGCACCTGCCACTCACGTACAGGCCATCGACGGCGAAATGTTCATCCATGGATAGTGAAACAGTCTGATTGTCAATGAGCACCTCTTGGCAAAGCCGGCTGTGGGCAGGAATGACGCGGCCTGCGACCACCACCTGTCTCGCAATACGGCATATACGACTCTGCACCAAGAGAAAATGAACATCAATGAAGTCGGCTTGGATAAGGACTGAATCCAAGATGTATGCACGACTCATGCCGCTGCATCTTGGGCATAACGCGAGATCAATGCGCGGACGGTGATTGGTGTCAGCAGAAGCGCTTGGCAAGTTGCAACCCTAGCCAAGGAGTTTGTCATTGACGACCCGGGGAAAAGGTGTTTGCAGGTGTTCACGCGCCTGGGCGATGTATTTGACGAGCTTGGCAGTGCGCTTGGCGAAGCAGAGAAGTTCAAACGCTCACTGCCCAAACATTGCATGACATTGCGATGTTCCTTCCACGTGCTCTTTTCCACGGGGCACGCAAGGCGTCCGGGAAAATTGTGATTTCGCCTAGGGGAAGAACGAAGAGGCGACGAAACAGGACCCCCCTTTTCGCGTGCGGTTTGCAACCTTGTTGCTTGTGCCTGTAGCAAATGCAGCTCAATCTGCTCGTGGTTTACTGTTGTTTCCCTTGCAAACCTCTCCCGTACGCCATCGAGGCAAGGATTATTCGCCTTGACGCCTCACTGTCTGCAAACACACTGGGACATCCAGGCTCTCATGTGTTCCGCAAGTGATCAGCTCACGCTTTTGTAACACGCTCACTGCGCCTCCGATTCGACAAGCTGCGTGTCGTGACGACAAAGGCTAGAAAGTAGCCGCCTGGAGGCGAAATATGCCTCTGAGACTCACAAAACCTCACTATACATTGACATATACATACAACCATGCTGATGATCATGTCTCAGTCCCATGCTGATGATCATCGCCTCGGGTTGCATTTGCTGAGGTGCACAGAATTTCTGATATCTGATAGGGCTCTCACGTAGCAAAGCCAAATGCAAACTGCCCATGACAATCCTGATGGTGGCAGCACCTCCAAGGGTCCAAGCAAACAGTGGGTGAAGGAACCATGCACGCACAGTTGGCAAAGCCTCGCGGACAAGTGAGGCGTGCTCAGCAATGACGGACTGCGATTGCTTCAGCGGCGAGATCGGAATTACATTCACCTGTGAGATGAGCCTCCTTGGATTGAAGGTAATCCTGGTATTCTTTGAGCCTCAGTGTATGCATCATGTTTGACTGGCAACAAAACGCCCTCCAGCTTGACTCAAGGCAAGTACATTGACTGGACCAGGAGATCTTTCTTGAGTGGAACTGCAAAGCCATTTGGACAGATTTCAGGGGCTGACTCTGACCTGAGTCTCACTTCTTCCTTCTTCAGAGGTTCCCACTCCTAAAGCAAATGTATGCTCAACTGTATCATGAACATATCACCAAGCATGGGACATGGACATAGCAAGCTGATGTCCTCCCAAACATGCTCCAGAGTCGGCTCTTGTTCAGCATGGATCCTGTCCTGTGTGGCCTGCACACAAGTGTGCAAGCTGCAGGCATGTGACACCAGGCATTTGATTGCCTGCCTTCGGAGCCGTGCGGTGCGCAGAGCTATCGCGTCGTGGCGGCAGCGGCTTGTTGCCTTGCTGGCAATCCACCACTCGCTCCAAACAAAACGCTGCAGCCTGTGTAGAGCCTCGGTTCCTTGCGTGGCGCTCGTTCAGCAAGCCGAGAAAACACTCTCCGAACCACAAGCACCTTGTAAGAGCCGATCATAGTCATCTCCATAAAGAGGGGCGAAAGCTTGAGCACGTTGACGATCATGTGCAGAAACCTTGTGCACTCTGCAAGCCCTTTGCCTGGCTTTCTGCCAAGCTTCTCTGTGGCTCGCTCAAGACTTAAGTTGCAGGCCGTACGTCGAGCTTCCAGGGCCTTTCTAGATACACGGGCAATGTGTGTTGCGCGCAAACAGGCGGCACCTTGGAAATCGGACCTTGAAGTGGAGGGCCAGGCCGTGTCTTTCCTGGAAGCACGCTAAGCTCATTTTGATGTTGGCTCAACCAGCATTGCTGAGACGAGTACTATTCAGTTCCATGCGATCCTGGCTGACAGGTCTAAGTGAGGACCGATGAGAGCAAGCACTTGGCCTTCATCATCTCATGCTTTGCTGCTACGGATCTCTCCAAGGCCTCCTGCTGGCCTCAGTGAACACAGCAATTCCTGCCAGCAGCTCCGGCCACAGCTTCTGCGATCACCATGGCAGCTTTCAGGCTGCATGCAGCCAGGATGCAAGCTTTGAGACAGTGCTAAGAGCAAGCGAGTGAGGCAACTACTTGAGAAATCTTGAGGGCTTTGAGGGCTGGGATGATAAGCAGCAACATCACATTGCAGAACTCTATTCGTCCGGGAAATGGCCTTTGCCAAACAGCTGAGCCACTAAATACCAGAGCAAGCTATTCATCAGCCTGCAGGTCTAAGCCTGCAACTCACAATCGAGTTGATGCAAGATGCAATGCCGGGATGCCAGCAGGCCCGGACGTTGTCTTCGTGAACAAAGTGAAGTACCTGTCCAGAACATGGCCCCTGACAAACCAAAATATCTTGCAGCTCTCTCTGCCTATTAGGCTGAGTCATAGCAGGTCCTAATCCTGGGTGACAAGCGCCGGCTTTCCGTTGCGCTATGCCAAAAATTAAGCGCAGGGCGTTCAGCAGCAGCATCGCTGTCGGGTTTGGCCGTCTTTCGCTCCTTGAAGGACGCATAGCTCACACGAGACTAAACGAGCAAGCCCGAGTGCCTTTGTTATTGCTTGGCTAAAGCCCAAGCATTGAATATGAGTGACCTGGGAAGAAAAATACAAACTGCTGAACATCACTCTGATTCATCGGTGCCAACTCAGAAGCCTGCCAAGGGAGGCTCTACAGATCGGCGAGGCCGCTCTTTCCACGTCCTGCCAGTGTGATCAGTGCACCTGTGCCTAGCGTGATGTGGGCGGTCCCCATTTCTGGAGCTGCACAAATGTGATCAATCCCCAGGTCGCAGCCAAACGCTTGGGCCGAAGCAGAGACATGCCATGCAGGCACTCACAGCTTGGCTGATTCCATGCTGAAAGTATCTTGCATGATGATTGATGAGCTGTTCGTCGTTTGGGTCGGGTCGGGGTAAGTTTTCGCCCATCCTTACTCTTGTGGACAGTGCTCGGCTCGTGCCTAGGCTGTGCAGATTCAGTTGGCTTCTGGAGGGAGAAAGTAAACAGGATGAAAATGGACAGGTCTGGGCGGAACGGAGTAGGGAAGGACATTGAATGATCAAAGGATGGTCTTTGCAAGATCTGTGGGCTGCAAGAGTGCTCCCGTGCCTGCTTGTGCATGTACGTTCTTGCGCAAGCGAATAGGTGTGGCGGCACGTGTGTGTGTGTGTGCATATAATAGTCTATCTGTGTGCGTGCACCTGCACGTCCGCGCCAGGGCTTTAGCGCGTTCTTCGTCGGTGTATGTCTGTGAATGCCCGTATCCACGCATGTCTTTGTTTGTCTCGCAAGCGCGCGGGCCTGAGGGGAGGGGCAAGTGGGTGGGCGGATGGGCAAGGGGGCAAGTAGGCAAAGGAGCAAGCGACGGGCGTGCGAGTCTGCACGTGCAATGAACACGTGAGCGCTTGCTTCTGACCCGTGCCAACAGAGCCAATCAAAGCGAAACTAAGAGTCGCACTGTCACTGTCACTAGTTTCCTTATGCACAAGGACACCTGCGGAATTTCCTACAGCACTGTCTTGCACCCTGTCACCAAGTTGGCGAGGTGACTGCAAACAAAAATTGTGACAAGTACGGCAAAACATTACTGTGGCATGACTGGAGCACAGCAAATTCCCATTGTGTTCCTTTGCTGGCAATGCACTCTGCTTGCCTGTTTGCTACGTCTTACCCCTCCCAATGGGGAGGTCTGTTCCTCTTCAAAGCCATCCACAAGGGCATCATCAAGTTTGGAACACCCGCAGCACTAACCTAATGTATCGCGAAAGCGTAACATGCCAATAATCCACCAGCACCACCATGCCTATACGAGTGGGGATAATGATCGTCTCATGCTCTTCTCAGACTGTGGCGCTATGTTAGCGGGCTGCTGACTTCTGCAAACGGCTCATGCAGGCGGCGCCCTGCTTCACAACGCCTTCAGGCAAAGTGGCAGAGCAAGATTGGATGTTTTTCTGACGCGCCTTCAAGGCCACGCTTGACCCGCGTGAAGGTTGACCTGTTGACAGGCATCATGGCTGCCTGGAAAATGAATGCCCAACTTAGAATAACGCCACCGGACTTGGATCTTCTTGGCTGCCATCTGACGCTTTTTGCGCCAACGGCGAACTCGAAACTGGAGGAAAAGCAC